AAGAAAACACACCACAACCCATAATTTGCTAGAAAAACAGGGACAGTCCCACTTCCCTTTGCCTATCTTTCCCCACAGCATCCTTTCTCTGCCTCAGGGTTTGTCACAGCACAGAGTCTTGACAAGGTTGTGTGTGTTGCACTGCAGGATTCTCAGTGCTACCCCCACTGCCCATCCTGAGCTTCTGCTTGCCTGTACCTGGAACGTGGCTTTCCAGCAGAAAACACCTTTCCCAGGAGATGGACTTTGATGATCCTTGCGGGTCCCTGTCACAGGACAGGAATCTGTAGTGAAGATATAAGGGCCCAGTTAAGATTTATGCTATTCAAAGTCTTTAGGTAGGCACTTTTGATCATTACACCCACAAGTTTTTGTGAGTGTAAAGCACACACACCACACAGCTTACACATCCTTATTTTTTGTAGCTGCCCAGCAAGACTGTGGGCAAAGCACACAAATCGTGCCCTGATACGACGAGCATCTTAATCCCCTCCCCTCTAGAGGGGTGTATTTTGGATTTGCAAACTCTGCTGCTGGAGTTGTCGAAGCAGGAGCCGTTCCTCACCTCTCCTCCAGTCCCACTGAGCTTGTGGGTCCCACCGAGCACCACCTCAGCCTGACCCAGGGAAAGATTTGGGAATTTCTGTGTACAATCACTGACAGGACCTAAACGTCCTCTGAGCACCAGCGAGGCCACAGGCAGTGGACCTCACACACTGAGGCCCGTGCCTGCAGCTGGATGTTCAATTTGAGGTTACAAAGAGGTGGTTTGACATTTAAACGTCACACACTTCTGTGTGACGACGCAAAGAGGGGATGTTTTCAGGAAGCTAATTTATGGCCAGCTCTACCTTAATGCAGTATTTTCTGAGCAGCAGGTTCATGTGCTTCCTCCCTCCTGTCTTCACTCCTTGTGTACTACCCAATTACAGTTTCTACAGCCACTCCTCCTCAACCTCTCCTAGCATCAGAACACCCTCTATTTTGTATATATTTACATATGTATATTTGTTTATCTACGTATATTTGTATACATGTCATGGTAATCACCTTCCTTCCCCCTTCTAAACTTTTCCCACTATCAAAACCAATAGTCCTCCCCTTGACCTTGCCCTGAACTTGTACTAAGCCATTGGAATTTCTTCTTTGACTTCATCTCTCTTTTAATCCAAGCCCCAAACCATGAGCTCAAAACAAGCCTCCACCACAGGCTCAGTCCCTCATCCCCTGCAGAGCTCTGCGTGGCACTTGAAGGAATGGTGTTCAAAAGAAGAGATGGGGAAGGGACTTTGTCTCAGCAAACTAATCCCACTATGAGAGTAAGAAAGTTGGAGTCACTTGTTAACAGAAGAGACTTCCCTGCTGAGTAAATCAGGGCAGCTGCTCTCATACATCTGCTGCAAAGGGGAGGTGGAAAAACACATTAGCTTCCATCAAGATTAAAGGTAAGGTGTGCTTGTGACAACTCCTGTACCTCAAGCCTTAGTTTCACACACACTTCAGCTTGCTAAAAGGAGTGCCATCCTTTTCCTTTCTCATTCCCACCCCCACACTGCCCTGTCTCTCCTGGTGGTTCAGGTGTATGTGTGGTCTCACAGCAAACCGGAGCAGGGAACCAGCGTGGATGACAGGAGGTAGTCACGACGGCTTCTTTCAACAGCAGTGCCAGCTGAGAGGATTTGTGCAACCACAGCCTGTTTATCTGAGCACAAAAACATAGGAACTAAACACGTGTTTCCCTCTGGCATCTAACCCAGCACAGGCAGGGCGGCTGCTGTTGGAAGAGGTGGTCCCTCTCCGTGTTTCTCATGCTACACTTCCACAGCAATCCTAGCACTGTCTGGCCAACAAGACAACCTGATCCCACTTCCAGATCCAAAAGGCTTTTTTTTTTTATTTTGGAAGGGGGTTGATTTTCAGTTGGAGCACTGATTGGACCGATTTGAGACCTCTTGATCACCAGATCTAATCCAAGAGAAGGAGCAGGACTGGGTGAGAACTGGATCTTTCCTTCAACACCAGCCTGCTGTTACACTGGATTACTCATCACGTGAAGGCAAACTCCAAGCAACACGAGTTATTCAATCACATTTCTCTGGAAGTCCTGTCCACACACTCAGCCACTGATCACCCTGACTCCATGACTGCCTCTTCCCAAGAGGAAGAGCTTAACACGGCTCACAGGCCATTTTTCTGCTGGAACGTGTCATCCTGGCAGCAGCAGGCTCTGTAATCCGACACGAAAACTTGTTGCAAGACTCTGTGGCCGGAACAGATTGAGATAAGAAATTAGTGAGGGTAATCAGCCATTGGAATAATTCACCTGGGGAACCAGTGAAGTCTATCGCTTGATATCTTGAAATCAAGACTGGCTACTTTTCTAGTAGAATTCTGGATTCGATGCAGCGATAACCAGCTGGGAATGTAAATACCTGCCAGGGGTCAGGTCAAGGCATCTGCCCCCAAATGGCTGACGATACGAACATCAGCTGCGTGATCACCTCAAGAAGGAGGGAAATAATCCCTCTCTGCGCAGCCCCAAGTGCCAAAACAATAGAGCACAACTGCATTTGCACTGAAGTCACTTCCGAGGACTTCATTAAAAGATTGGGCAGAAGTTCGGCAAGGAGCTGCAAAGGAATTGCAAAACTTCCCAGGCACGACTACTGAAATAAACTAGCTATGGATAATTTAGCTAAACAGTAACCAAGTAAACAACATCAAGCTGGAAAGACACCAGATGACAGAAGGCACAGTAACTCTTAGAATCAAACATCCCTGGAAAAAAATGTGATTCCAATTACGGATTTGAAATCCCTCGCGGGCCGTTTCTTAAATTTTGCCTGGAATAACCACTGAGACTGAACGTAATTTACATGAATACAAACTAATTAAATAAAACAGCCCAGACTCCAAAGTAGATTACATTAAAAGGAAAAAAAAAAGGGAAAAAAATATCAAAAACTATAACATAATTTGGCTCTTCCCTGCTAGAAAGCACTTGAAACAAGTGAACCGTAAGAAAGGATAAGACTCAACAGAACAAGAGCAAGAACATCCCTCTAAAGTCAGCAAGATGAAATAAAATAAAATTTAAAAAAAAGGCCTGGGGAACAGACTCTTACCGGCAAAATCTATCAGGATGCACAAGAGGTTCCCAGAGGAAGCATTTGTGTCCCACTGTTTCAGACAGCAGGAGCACCGACCTCAGGCCCCGCTGTCACCAGTGACTAGACCATATAACCCCACTGAGATCTACCCAGACCGCCAGGCTGCTGCACAGGCAGGACAGGAGCTGCTCCCAACATTAACAGAGAATTAAGAAGAATTCAGGTTTGGTACAACTTCAGCTCTGATTTACAGATACCTCCTGCTCACCCAATTCAGGAGCAGTTCTGAAATCTAGGTCACCCATACATTATTACTCCAAACCAAGCCACCTCCCCCCCTCCGTGCAACCCTTTAAAAGGACTCTGCCCTTATCCAAGCCCTTATCCAAGCCATCTCCAAGTCATTTAGGTTATGAGAAACTCCAGAACACCAGAGAATCAGGTCACAAGACTTCCAACAACACGTTATAGATGTGGCTTGGTCCGAGAGGAACAGGCTTCTCAAGGAGATGCTAACAGCATCCACATCCAGTCTGCAACAAGTCAACACCGGCGAGCTGAGCTCAGATCTCCGTCTCTCACCCTGTAATCCCTACCAGGTCTGATCCAGGCTTTGGCCAACATCTGGGAATACACGATGCATCAAGCGCAAGGACAAACATGGGTGTTGGAAGTAGGACGGGTCAGGAGAGTGCCGTGGGAGCTCGGAATCCCCCCCAGCAGGTTGTTTGGGGCGCTGGGGTTGCCATCGGAGCTGCTGCGGTGGCCAGGACTGCGGGAAGGAGGCAGGAAGCGAGCGGCGGGCAGGGGATCTCGCCCGGCGTTCCCCTGCCTTCCCTCCGTGACAGGCCATAAAAGTCACGAGGCGAGCAGGAAAAACAGCGAGGTGTCCAGAGTTCACCCCCGCGGCTCCCGGGCCGCGGCTCCCGGCGGGAGCTGGAAAACCCAGGCGAGTGCACCGTGGGATCTCGCTCCTGCGTGGGAGGCACCACCATTTCTGCGGGAAGAGGCTCGGGCTGCTTGGCAGCCGAGCCTGGGACCGGGCCTGCGCTCCGGGCCCTCCCCGCTGCCGGCGGCGGGCGGAGGGGCCGGGGGGGCCACGGGGCGGGCGGTGCCGTCGGGGCGCGGAGCCCCCACGGAGGATGCGGGACCCCGGCGCGAAGGATGCGGGACCCCCGCGCCGCCCCGGGGCGGGCGGGCAGCCGCCCCCTCGGCCGCCTCTCGGCAGGCACAGCGGCCCCGCGGCCGGGGGGGATGAGGGGCTCCGCGCCCCGACGGCGCCCGCACCGCGCACCCGCACCGGGAGGAGCGCGCAGCTCCTTCCCCGGAGATCCCTCCTCCCGTACCCCTCCCTCGGGTCCTAAAATGGTGGGTCGGCCGCTCTGCCTCCCCTTTCCTTCCCCCTTTTTTGTTTCCCCACCACCACCCCCCCGAGCTCCTCCGCCCCGCAATCCCCCGAGCCCGCCCGTCGCCCCCGCCCCGGCCCCGCGGGGCAGCCGCCCCTCCGTCCGTGCGCCCCGGCCCGGGCTCCGCGGGGCTCCGGCGCCAGGCCCGCGCCTGTCCCGGGAACACCGGGAGCGCTGCAACGCCTCTCCCGGGAATACAGCAACGCCTCCCCCACCCCATCCCCAGCTTTACCTGCGCCGGGCTCGCATCGCGGGGCCGGGGCCAGCGCTGCCCCCCCGCCCCCGGCGCCCCTCGGCCGCCGCCCGCCCTCCCGCCGCCCTGCGCGGGGCCGCAGGTGTGTCATGAGCGCCGAGCGGGCCCAGGTGAGCCGGGCACACCTACAGGAAGGCAGGCGGGCCGCCCTGATTGGCGAGCGGGGCCGCGGCCGCTCCGACGGCTCCGCGGCGGGGCAGGGCCGTGCCGGGCCAGGCCGGGCAGGGCAGGGCAGGGCGGCCGAGGGGCCGCTGCGGGACACGGCGCGTCCTGTGCCTCTCTCTTGTCCCCGCTCCTGTCCCCGGCCGGGAAAAGCCTCCCCCTCCCCGCCTCGACGCGTCCGAGAGCAAGGTATTTTTCTTCCTTTTTTTTTTTTTTTTGGTGTTTGTTTGTTTGTGGATTTTTTTGTTTCCTTGTTTGTGTGTTTTTTGTCTGTTTCTTTGTTTTTAATTGAATGATATGTGAACGCGGGTGAAGGGCCTGGAGGGGAAGCCGTAGGGGCGGCTGAGGGCACTTGGTGTGTTCAGCGCGGAGGGAGAGAGCACTGCCCCCGAGGACAGACAGACCTCGCAGCATCTGCAGCTTCCTCGGGGAGGGCAGGCACTGATCTCTGCTCGGTGAGCACGGACAGGACCCGAGGAAATGGCCTGAAATTGTGTCAGGGGGAGGGTTAGGTTGGATATTTGGAAAAAGGTCCTTCCCCCAGAGGGTGGTTGGCACTGGACAGGCTCCCCAGGGCAGTGGGCACAGCCCCAAGGCTGACAGAGCTCAAGGGGCATTTGGACAACGCTCTCAGGCACAGGGTGTGACTCTTGGGGATGGTCCTGTGCAGGGCTAGGAGCTGGACTCGATGCTCCTTCCAACTCAGAACATTCTGTGATTCTGTAACAACTGCATCCTCCCCCCGGTTTTGGGCGAGGGGAGAAAGCTTGTAGCACTTGGTTGCTTTGCCTCCAGGGTGCACCTGACCCACCTGATCCTGGCTTAAGAAACAGAGGGACTTTTTATTTTATAAGTTTCCTTCATTAACCGAGTCTCTTCTTTTCCCTCTCCTTAACTTTACATGCGAGAAGCCCTTGCGTTTCCTCCCAACAGGCAGCCAGAGTTTCAAGGAAAAGCGCCAAGTTGTCCCAGACTTTACAGGATTACAGGATCCCAGGATTACATCTGAGATTGTCAAATAAATGCAAATGAATGAAACATCTGAATTTAGAAGAAATCGAGTGGGACGTGGGTAGAACTCTGTAGAAGAACTCTGTAGGCTGCACTGAAAAGCTGAATCCACAGCTCAAAATCTTGGATATTCTCTCCTAGGTACATTGGAAAATATCCTGAGCAGCCCTGCCTGCATCAAAGCTTTGCTTGGCTGTGCTCAGCTGTGGACTGAAAGGAGACAGCATATCAGTTCCCAGTAAAGGTAATTCTGTCCCTATCTGCCAGTTTGACTGTAGTGACAGGGGCTCACAGACTGTAGGGAGATTTCCCCCACATCAGAGAGTGGAACAGAACCTGGCAGAGAAAAGGCACAAATAAAGGGAAAGAAGAAGAGGGGAGAACAACTAGATACAAGACAGTATGTGTTTGGGAAGTCTGGGAGTAGCAAGAAAAAGGGAAGCCCTACCACAGGTGATTCAGAAGTTTTGGGGTTGCTGGGAGTTTTCATTCCATGGCAAAATAAACAGAGTAGGTTGCTTTGTTCTTCTCTGCCCCAGTTATACTAATTGCAGTATAGATGCCTGGATTTCCTTAAGGGGGTACAGGATTTATGTGAGGATGCACCTTCCCTCAGCATAGATCTTTGCTGACCAGGAATGCAAGGTGTGCAAAGAATTATGCTCAACAGGTGACTGAGGATGGCTTTGAGTCATCTCTTTGCTAAGTCTCTCTTTTTTTTTTTTTTTTTTTTTCACAAATCATTTCCTGAGGCTTGCACAGGTGTGTGTCCTCCAGGATGTGCTCTGAAGAGCTCAGGAAAAGAGAGGAGGGAGCTTGGCCTGACCAGGGACATCATACTCGTGCTTGCTGCTGCCTTCTGATTCCATAACTCCTTCGTTTGTGTGGATGACTTTTTCCAGCAGAGTGGATCAGCTTCTGCCATTGAGATTCCTATTCCACATCACTGTGTTTGCAGTCAGCGGCGAGGAAAAGGATGCTTCAAATTCCCAAAGGTCACAAAATACTGGGAAATCAACTCTGGATCATGTCTCTCTTAGGCTGGTGCTCAAACCTCTGGGACATTACATAAATAGGCGATGCTTCTTCCTTATGCATTTTAGAAGTTCCTGGCAGTGGGCTGGAATTCCTCATCCTGACTGGAAAACAGCACCTCTGCCATTCAGAAAAGGGCAGCTTGTTATCTAAGAAGGGCTTTACCCCTGTCCTTGGCACCTCCAGCATCTGCAGAGGCAGCTTTCTGTTTGCTTTTGTGAATCATATCCTGAGATATCTTGCTTTCTGGGGCCATTGAACAGAGAGTTTGAGTGCCTGACTTCTCTTCACGCCTTTCCTTGGGTGGAAAAGTGCCTGAAGCTAAAATGTGGAGCTCTCAGTATCACCACCTGTATCCTTCTGTGGGCCAAGCTCTCACTCCCGAACTTGCTGGGAACTGGACTCCTAAATTCTGTGTGGGCCTGTGCAAAATTACTGCAGTGCCATTGAGGTGCTTCTGCCAGTGACAATGAAGAGCAGGTGGGCTCCAGAATCCCTGAGGCTGGCTGGCACTTCTGGAGACCATCCAGCCCACCCCCTGGCTCAGAACAGAGTCAGCTGGAGCTGCCCAGCACCGTTGCCAGTTGGAGTTTTAATATCTCGAGACTCCACAGTCTCTCTGGGCAATCTGGCCCAGTTTAACAATCCCCTTGGTAAAAGAAATGGGTTTCTTATGTTTAGAACATCTGCACATCTGCAACCCTGCACAGGGGAAGCGGGTGAGGTCCTGTTCCATGCTGGGACTATCCCCCCTTTAAGAAGGTGAGATACACTGAGTCTGTTTTTTGGCCAGGGGATCCCTTGGGGTTCTCGTAAGAACCAGCATTAGTGGGAGGTGGGATAGAGAGCAGCAGAGAGGCGTCCCAGGTGGATTGGGCTGCTCTGTATCCTATCTCAGCCCACCAAACTCTGGGCTGCATCACCTGAGTGCCTGGGATGTCCCTTTGCCTCCAGAGAAAGCCTCCTGCTGCAAAGAAGCCCGGCAGCCAGAGGAGCAGGGCCCTGCACCCTGATGTGCTCCTGCTTCCTGCAGTGCCTTGTGCTATCAGCAGGCTGAGAGGCAGCTTGGACACTGCCCTCCCACTCAGACATCCTCCTGGTAAACATCCTGTCCCGCTGGAGCCTGCTGCTGTCACGTCCTCGCTGCTCCACAGCAGACATTGCTCTGGGTTTCGTTCTCCTACATGCAGAGCCCGCAGTTGTGCATGTAAAAAAGCCAGGCAGACAGCAGGACAGAACCTGGGCAGTAACTCTTGGTTAAGCTGCTGACATGCCAGAAGTACTGCAGAGGAAGGGAGTTGTCTAAGGGTCATAAAATTAACTAAAATCATCTTCTTGAGCCATCCTTGGAAAGCCAATTCCCTCTCCCAGGCGTGTTTAGCAGCTATACCTTACTCCAGGCAGATGCAAACCTGTGTGTATGACAAGAAGAGCCTTTGTAATCGTGGAAAGTAACAGAACAGTGAACTGGAAGCTGAGCTGGAGTAAGTTTACACAAGCAGCAAGTAAAACACCCATCCCCAGTGAGTCAGGTCCGGCTGTTTCCTTCATTTCCTCCAAGGCTTGCTGGAAACATCCAGCGGTAACGGCCCTTCGTCTCCTTTCCTGCCCCTTGTTTACAGCTCTCCCTCGGGAGAGAGCAGAGTCCCAGCATCCAGCACTGCATTTTCACTGCATTTTCACACAGGGAAGGGCAGACTCCCCCGGGCCTCAGCTCAGCTTTGTGCAGTGCACTCGTTGCACTTGTAGGTGCCAGTGCCAGCACCTCCTCGAGCTGCAGCAGCTGCTCGACTAAAAGAGGAAAAAATGTCACATTTCCACAGTTTACTCATGGATTTTTTTTTTTTTTGTTGTTTTTATCTTGAATACAGCCTTTTGATTGACAGAGGTTCTCTATTCTTACATCCATCGCTTTGGATTCAGTCCAAGAAAGGACACACTGGAATATTATGCTGTTGGAGTGTGCAAACCGTCTCTCATGGTTTTGAGCTTCCCTGGTTCAGATGAAGGCGTATCTCATGCTCTGATTTCCCCACATGACAGCAGCTGGGGAGGAGCAGTATTTTTAGCTTTTGTTTCTTGGTTTACTTACAGGAAGTTCCTCATTTGTGGAAGTGAGCTCGGGCCAGACTTAGGCTGGGAATCTGCTTCCGTGCCAGCCGTAAGGTGACGTTTTAAGGGTGAACTCCTGCTGTTGTCTGGCAGAGCCCTCACTTATCCCAGGTGTCCCTGTGGGCTTCACATAGACAAAGTACTGATTTCTGGAATCTTCCCTAGAATTTGTTGAAGGATGTGTCCAGGCGGCTGTGATGGGAAAGGCTTAGGAAAATGTAGAGCTGGGAAAGTCCTTCAGGTGATGTGACCAGAGATGCCTCCCTGTGTGAAACTGGTTATAAACCTGCATAATCTGAGTTAATGATAGTAGCTCTGAGACAAAACCCATGCTGTCAAAGAGCAAGTACATCCCAAGAGAAGCAGGCACAGAATGAAAAGGGGTTCCCAAGTGCCTTCTCTCCTGGGAATCCCAGATAGCCTGCAGCCAACAAGTGACCTAAATACAGCACTGTGTTTGCTCCTGCAGAATAAAACCAGGAACAAAATAATCCACTAAAATTATATATCTTCATAATCCTTGTTCAACCTCATCCATTTTTTTTTTTTTTATACAAAAAAGATCAGGGAATCTTTGTACGAATGGACACCTGCATAGTGTTTCCTGCTCATCAATAGCATTTGGCAACTCACTGATTCAATTTTCATTGAAATAGGAGTAAGCTTTTTTACATTTTTAGGAAAACTTTCCTCAGCCAAATTTGCAGAAATTACATCTGATACGCCTAATGCAGTATAACACCACCCTCCTTCCTTCCTGTTGAATATATGGCTTTTTTAAGCCCTATTCTCACCTGATTAATATAGAGAGATCTATACTGAAGTGTCCCTGCAGGTAAATAACATGAGCTTGAGATAAAGAGATTTTTTCCCCCAAAACACAAAGCTTGAGCTAGTGCAGGGGAAAAGATGGTTTATGACCAAGAACATAAATAAGGACATTTTTTGTAGTTTACATTGAATGTCAGCATAGGTGTCTCTTACTGAGTAAAACTATTGCAGTGATTTCTCGCCTGTTGTCCACAAACATCAGGAGACCTAGGAAATACAAGGTAATATCTGTAAACAAGGATCCAAAAAAATAAATACAGGTTAAAATAAGCCTGTGCTTCGTACTATTAAGACATACTCATTCCCCCATTGGTACTGGGGAAATGAGTAGTCAGACAGGGAGAAAGACAGGAAAGCTTTTAAAGGGCTTTACCTCTTCTTCATCATCAAAAGTTTTAATTCTTGGTAGTCCAGAATCACAACATTGATCTTCCTATCCAGAAATACCACAAACAAATTTGGAAAAACCTTAACGCAAACTGGTTATGCAAACATGTCCGAGCAGCTGTTCTCGCACAGCAATCCACACAGGCAATTCCAAGCTCAGTTACAACTTCAGGGAAATCTTTGGGCTTATCCTTTCCCCCCTGTGAGTTGATCCATGCAAAGGATACGCCAGTTGCTTGTTCCTGGCAGGTGCCTCTCACAGGCTGAAATCCTCTGTTGTAGCTCCCAGGGAAGCTTTAGGAGGCAGCTCTTGGTTTCCTGTGGCGCTTTCAATATCTGTGTTCTGTGACTCTGAACACTGCAACAAAGCTATTTTTTTTCCCCCCAAATCCCTCTCTGATCTCACGTACACGTGGCCTTCAGAGGTCTCTGAGAGCAGCTGAGAGCTCTGCGGGCTGCGGCGCTGGGGAGCAGCAGCTTCCTGAGGATATTGCAGTCTGGTCCAGGCAGTGAGGCTGCTGTGGTGTTTCCAGCTGTCTGGGATCCAGTTCTTCAGATCCCTGTCTTGAATACTGCCTCCACTGAACAGGAGGCTAATTTGTTAACAGCTTTGCTCCTCTGTGCTCCTTCTCTCCTGGGGCTCCATCCAGAGCTTGGGCTGATAATTCGCAGCCTCAGTTCTTTAAAGCTGTCATTTCCTCTCTTTACTCCTGCAGTGTTCCTGATCCTACAGTCGTTTAAGAACCAGGTTCTCCCTGCAGAGTGGCCTGGGAATTTGGCCTCTTGGGATGGAGGAAGTTGGTGGAGATGAGCAGACAGATAACTGGGAATTTCCTAGTGTGGTGTCCAGCCGTCCTTCCTGCGCAGTGGCTGCAGAGGGACAGGGAGCTGCGCAGAAGATATTGCTTGAATAAGATGCAGCTAAAACCTTGTGCAAACCTGAGGCAGAGCCCTATTGCTATGTCTTGGTGCAGTAAATTCCCAGCCCACTCCATACACACCTCTCCCTTCCACATCCACATGCAGGTAATTGCTGGATTTGAGTCTCTAACAGACTTGCTGCTTGACTTTACCTGCACCTCACTCACTGATGTTTCCCTTCCTTAGGAGTGAGAAAAGGCTTAAATAGAGAGGATCCACGATCCATTTTCTCCTTTTCCTCTTTTGAGAAGTCCAGGAGAAGGCTACTCTGACTGGTAAAATACTGACATTCCATTTGCTAAGGCAAGAACTTAAGCAGAGTCCTCCTCCAAACTTTTCTCATATGTGTGGGTGTTCATGGCAATAACTTAGGGAGGTGTGTGACACTCAGAGCCCTCCCCAGAAAGGATGCTGGTAACAAATCAATTCCCTGCCAGAACAACCAGCACGGTTCAAATTCTCCATGTGACCTGGGTGTAGCATTTGGGGTTTCTTTTTGGCTTTCATTGGTGGATGAAATTGCACATAACAGGGTAACTTTTGCTGAGATAAACACAGTAATTTCTCGTCAGCTTAGTTTTTGCAGAGGAGGATAAACAAAGCTGAAATGTGCCTCCCTCCACATTCAGCATCTTTGCATGAGTCCTTGAGGTGGAGATCTCCAAGCCTGGATGTGTAATAGTGCAGTGCCACCTCATGGGAAGCTGTTCCAGACGCTGTTTCCTGCATCCAGGTGAGAGGACGTGAACACAAACACCCTCCTGTTTGTTGTAGGTGCTCCTGTACGTTGGTGAGGTCAGCACAGTGTCACACCAGCAGATTTAAAGAACAGCTTGGCTTTCCCTCTCAGTTTTTGTGAGGCTCAGGCAGGCGGTTGCACTGGATTACTGTTAAGGCTTTCTGTGAGAGTGTTCAAGAAAGATCTGCCATTCTATTGTAGTTTTATCTTTTTTTCAAAATAGAATCAGCTCCATGTCTGTGCACGGTGGAGATCAGGTTTGGCCCAAAGAAACCACCCCTAGTCTTTCCCTGTGGCTCTCCAAAACACCTGCAAGGTGCTGGTTCAGCTGTGGAAAAAGAAACCTTTCCCCTTTGATGGATTGTGAAGATGGATGTGAGCCTGCAGAGAAACACACCCATGCACGTGGCCTGGGGAAGTATTGTTTGTTTGGAGCTCTGGTGCCGCTGTTGGATGGGCAGACTGAAGCAGGATTGTTTCATATCAGCAAAAGCACAAAGGCTTTTGTCCTCAGCACACAGAAAGAGCCTTTTTTGTGATTCATGCTGGGAGATATTTTTAGGGTTTTTTTTGCATTTAGTTAAGAAGGGCACAAGAATAATACTGCAAATAAAAGCAGAATGACCCTGTAAAAAGAGTGGGTTTTCTACCTTAGAAAAAGCCTCACTGCATTACCTTGGAGGCTCAGATTGTAGGTAGGGACCACATCCTTTTCCTGCGCTCAGTGTGATTTTGTCACAGAGAAACTCTTTCTTTTTCTTCTGAAATTCTCACACCTCCTGGGACAGGTGAGTTGCAGCCCCCCCCCCCCCCAAAAAATGGAGAGAATAAAGAAACAAAGGCCAGAAAGTTGCTTAAAGGTAAGCTGTAATTACAACTGGAATTCAATGGATATGATTAGAGGAGAGACACCCATTCAACATCTCAAAAAAAACCCCTTCCTAACTCTGTATCCATAAAGTACTCCATTACCTTAAGATGTCCTAATGGCCTAAATTACTTCTGATGGACTGGGAAGGTCTGAATACCACAGTATATATCTTGGGGGTGTTCTCTGCAGTGGATCCCAAAAGAACCAAATGGTCTGGTTTTTTTTCCAGTGTATGCTGTGGCCCTATAACGTCAGATGGTGAAGAGATGACTGCATGACCTTGCTGTGAGACTGGGCCAGCCCACAAGCATCTCAACAGAAGAAAAAGTGCCCCAAAGGACGCAGAAGAGGCCAGTGCTCCTCTGAAGGTCACTACATGGGAGCAAGAGGAGAAAGGTTGGTCGCAGGAAGGAGGTGCAATGAAGTGACTTTCATGACAGAAATAGTGCTGAGAGGCCCTGGCAACATTTACCTGCTCAACAACACCTTTGAGAGGAAAGATCAAAGTTTTCTATCCAAATGATGTTTTGAATCTGAATGTAGTAGTAAAATTAGGATTTGCAAAACTATAGTAGTTTTGTTATCCAAATGTTAAACTTTTTATCCCCTATGCATGTAATGATCTGTGTGAAACGCATGGGTGCTTTTTACTTTAATTTTCAAAAGGATAGATGGGTTTTTGCTTTCCAAAGCCTGAGGGAAATCATGGCAGTCCATCCTGTACTGAGAGGTGTCTGATTAACTTCTCAAGCTTCTGGGGCAGGGGGTTTCACAACCTCCCAGAGAATCTATTCCAGTGCTGGCTTATTCAGAGAACACTTTTGCAACATCCAGCCTTTTTTGTTTTTCTCCTGTCTTCTTTCCTTTCCTGGAAATGAGGTTGATTAGGTCTTACTGTTGTCCCTCCTGCAGTGTAATCGCTGCCTCTCCTCACAACAACCTCTCATGTGCTGCAGCTTCGCTATCGTGTCCTGCCCTATTTCCAGCCCCCTCCCGTAGACTCAACAAACCCACTTCCCCCGCTTCTTCCCAGAGGTTGTTTTCCAAACTCCTCATCCCTGCTGATGTTCTGCCGTGCCCGTGCTCCTGCCTGGGCCGGGTTTGTTGTTCCCTGCCTGGTTTCAGTGGTGCTTTCCCACCCTCACAGGGAAGAATTTCTTCTGATATCCAATCTTAACCTGCTCTCTGTCAGTGTGAAGCCATCCCCCCTTGTCCTGTCACTCCAGGCCCTTGGAAATAGTCCCTCTCCATCTTTCCTCTAATACTGAAAGGCCACATAAGGTCTCCTTGGAGCCTTCTCTTCTCCAGGCTGAACAGCCCCAACTCTCTCAGCCTTTCCTCACAGGAGAAGACAATTAATTTCTGATCCATTTCTGGTAATCTGTGTTGGAGGTTCTCTTAGGAGGCAGAGGTCTCCATCTTCTAAGGGATGTGAGCATTTCAGGATCTCCTAGAGAAGAAGGGCTACCAAAAAAAACAGATGTAGGTCCTGCCCTTCATTGCAGGAGCACCAGCTTCCAGGCTCAGTTGGAGTTAACCAGCCCCACATTTGGCTCTTGACAGTCCTTGTGTCGGCTGCTTCAGTGGACAGCAGTGGAAGTCCTGATCAGGTGCGGTGTTGCAGAACCAAATCCTTACAGTCTAAAGACCCCAAACAGTATATAGGATATAGAGAGCTCATTATCACCAATACACCAATTAATACTTTATTATAAAATTCTGCAGTTGTTTATTTTACTCTCTTCCCAACACCCCTTTCCCCATAAATCATCCTCATGTCCTTCCCATGTTCCCAACAGATTCAGTGGCCCTAAACCAGGTATTTTGACCTGCTGCCTGGACAAGATATGAGATAAACTGCCAAACAACATGGATAAGGGCAGTCCCTCCCTGCTGATCCTCCCATGGGGATGCCACTGAGAGCTCTCTGCTGTACCTGGCCACTGATCCCTGCCTATAGGAGCCTGCTCATCTCTGATTGCTCTAAGTGCTTGTTAAATTTGATTGAAATGAGCCAGTTGGTTCCTCTGTGACAAATGGAGGGCTGACAGTTTGATTTAAGAAACCTTACTTCCTCAAGAAACTAGAGGGAAAAACGCCTCTATGAAGCCTGTCAAAAGTAGATCATGAAATTAATCCTCAAGTCTTAAAATACATATTTTAATAAAATCAAATAGAGAATCTAAACTGTCTTCTGATTTTGAAACTTCTGGGGAGAAATGGGCACTCTTAGGTGGTGAATCATCCAGCATATTTTAGTGTCTACCTTAGGAGCAGGTGAATCATGCTCTAGAAATGCTTCTTCAGTATTCGAATAAGGGGCTTTTTGTATTTTGCTTGATGACTTATGCTCAGTTTGTTATTACTGAAAATATTTTAAAATTATTTTTGTTTTTAATACAGAGTTAATCTTTGCTAAAAAGAGGAGGGGCTGATAATACATCTTTCTCTGAGGGCTGTGGTTTCAAAAATTCAGCACTGTGACTTTGGAGTTTGTCTTCTGGAAGGGATGTGTGGAATAGAAACAATGAAGTAGTAAGACCAAAGAAGACAGAAGCCCAGAGGGGAAAAAGGTGAGCAAGTCAGAATCTGAAACAACACAGTCAGGAAACACAGATGATGTGGTTTCTCTAAAAAGCTTGTTTGTTCAGTTAGAGGGAAAGGGAATTTGTGTATGCATAGCTGTAGTTTTACTAACTGTAAACTGCTGAGCTGTATTCCGTGTCCTTTTTTGTGTGTGTTCTTATGAAAGCTGTATTTTAAACCCTATGTTGTACAAAATGTGTCTATAAACTTTACTTATGAAAAGGGTGATAAACTAAGGCATAAAACTAAATTAATTGGGCAGAAGACAGAACTCCATTTAAAATAAATGAACACGGTGTTGTTACCCAAGTAAGCAGCACCCAGGCTATTCAGGGAATGGCATTTGCCTTTAATAATATTTTCCACAATACATGCAAGTTATTCATGGAATGGCGTTTATTTTTAATGGAAGTTTATGTGATGCTGACCACGTGGGACTCCTGGGAATTAAAGATTTGATAAGAACATGGTCTGTCATCTTATTTTTCTTGATTTTTGACCTCAGAGCTATAAAAGTGGTTGTAATGTTTTATTTTTCAGTTCCAAACCCCTTCAACATTTCCATTACGTGTAGGCCTACTAATAAATCCTTGCTTTTCTTTGTGGCCTCTCGTAGATCCCTCAGGACTTGTTTGAATGCCCTCCCCAAAAAAACCCTCGTGGCTTGTAGGTTGAAAGTTTGGGGTGTGTTTGTGATGACTTCTGTTATGTGGGGAGTTGCTATTTTAAAACACAATGTAATTGTGGTTGCTTTTTCATGCAGGTACTGATGACAAATCCCCTTTGGTCCCTTCAGCCATTAATCCTTGGGAAAAGCAGGAGCCTTTGCTGGAGGTGGCTGTGGGACACAGCAAGCCTTGGCCAGGAGGAGCAGAAGATCTTTTGCTGACTGAGTCGTGGGGTTAAATGTGCTTTTTTACAATTATTTGCAGTGAAATTCATTGCAAGAGTGAATCAGGTCGTTGGTATTTAATCTGAACCGGAGTTGTGCAACTTCAAGTGACTCTGCAGGAGATGGGTGCCCGTGATAGGTTCCTCATCCAGGGCTAGGAAGCTCTTCCAGGCGAAACATCTCCTTGTGGTTACGCCTTTTCTTGCCTTTCTTCTTGCTCATGGAGAAAACCTGTATGTGGAACAACGTGAAAGGCCTTTAAAATGTCTTAAATAAAATTATTCATTGATAAGTAAGTGCCTCAGTGGAAACACATGTATTTTATTTTATTGCACGTTGTTATAAATATAAATGTCTAAATATGTAATTAGAAAACCATGTAATAGTCCATTCTTTGAAAGAGGAAGGAGTATTCTGAACTAAGTTTTGTGGCGGCTGATTTTGCAGAGAGCAGGGTTAGATTGGATATTAGGTAGAAATCCTTCCCTGTGAGGATGGGGAGATCCTGGCACAGGTTGGCCAGAGAAGCTGTGGCTGCCCCATCCCTGGAAGTGTCCAAGGCCAGGTTGGATGGGGCTCTGAGCAACCTGGGCTGGTGGAAGGTGTCCCTGCCCATGGCAGGGGGTTGGAACAGGATGATCTTTAAGGTCCCTTCCAACCCAAACCATTTTATGATTCCCTGTGAGAGCTGAGGTCACGTGTAATTCCAGAACACTCATGAAAAGCTAGAGAATGACTGTACATAGTCTTTGGAAGCCACAAAATACCTGTGTGAGTCAAAAAAACCCTGCCTAAGGAAGGGAAAACTCTTCACACACAAGCAATTTCTAAATGACAAATGTGGGAAGTCACTCATTTGTCCTTGGCAATCTCCGAGGAAGTCCTGTGTCTCTGCAGTTTTTAATGTGCTTTTGCCTGCCAGTCAAAAGGATTGGTTGGGGTTTGGTAAGCACTGGCCTGCTGTCAGAGCAATTGCCCCACAGAGTTCACCTTCAGAAACGCCACCACTTGAAACAAAGAGATGCATCATGTTTTCCCTCTTAAACCCATTTTATGCCTCCCAAATCCATAATAAATCACCCAAAGAGCAGGCAGTTGCCTTGGATGCCTTTCATACTGGAGCCTGCAGTCAGTCCAGCACTCAAACAGTTGCCAGTTCTCTGGATTGCCTTTGCTTTGGTTTCCACAAAATACAAAGTCTACCCATGTCAAATCAAACCATTTTTGCCAAAACTTCCATGCCAGAGCAGCAGCCCATGAGACAAAGCCAACAACTTGGGTTTGACTCTTCTTGGTTTACCCAACGTGCAGGTGTGCACTGGAGGGATGAAAGGAGCAGGAAGAGAGGCTGAAGCAGTCAGGGCTACCCCGAATCCCAGGGTACAGACATGACCACACCACTGTTCAGCAGAGCAGAGCAGGTGCCCCTTGGTTCTTGTGCCACAATTCTTAGCATTTCAAAGCAAGCCACGTGTTGCTTGGAAAGGCCAGCACATCCTCTCCAGAGCATTTCCTAACCACATTTTGCCCACTTCTGGATAACTGCTCCTGGCTGTTGTCCTGGCAGACTTTGATCTCTGCAGGACTTGACCTTTAAGTGTGCAGGCTGGCAAAGCTGCAGCAGGTAGGCAAGCTGTGAGGAACCCTCGCTGCTTCAGCTGCCAGCAGGCTTGGTCAGGCTCCCTGTGTTCAGCTTCCCCTGATTCCTGCAGAAAGGTGCAGCTAAACCAGTTCCCTTTCTTGTGAAGTTCCCTGGGCCTTGTTTCTTGCAGAAGGAGTAGGAGAGGTGGCTGCAGAGGAGTTGGAACAACATCTACCAGCCATTTAAAGCAATCCCTCACGATTGTGCTTTCCCATTTGGCATCGGTGATGATTAAACTCCTCTAAGCCTCTCCTCCACTTCCCTCCTTTTCCTCCTGTCACACTGACACAGCTGTGTCTCTACAGTGGATTGGATCAGGAAGGGACCCAGCTAAAAATAACCGAGGGTAGACTGGGGAATGTTACCCTTCACCCACTGAAACTCCCCAATCTGGCTCAGGCTGCAGCTGCACCCACAGCAGGCAGAGCACGGGGGGTAAGTGACCACTGGGGCACAGGGAAGAGGGGATGAGGGACCCTCACGCTGCTTTTGAAAGAAAAGCAGGTGGAAGGAGATCTTCAGTGAGACGAGCAGAGCAGTACACGCCTCAGAGGCACTAAAGAGACAGGCACTGATTCCACCTGCGTGACGTACGCTCGGAAAGGATTCAAAAGCTGGATCCCCTCTGGAAATACTTGCCAAAAAAAAAAAAAAAAACAACAACGTAATTTCTGTTTAATTCCCTTGTTCTGCTTTCTCTTAACTTGCTGCTGCTCTCCACCCCCCTCCCCACTCTGCTGTGTGATGATGTGGTGGCAACACCAATAAAGGATCCACCGGGCTCTGAGGATGTTTGTGCCAACCCTGCTGTTCGTGGAGCCGTGCTGAGCACTGGGTCAGGGAAGCAATCCAAGTTAAAAATAACCCAGAGAGGGGCTGGGGATGGCAGGAGCTTTAGCCATCCCACGCAATCTGCTGTCACAAGCCAGCAAGGGCCGTTTGCAACTGCTGGATGTCACGAAAGCCCAGCCTCAGAGATATCCCCGTTCAAGACAGGGGATGTGAACTTTTCGGCCTTGGGACCCTTGGGAATGAGGAGGCAGGAATCCTTTGCCCTTGTTCATCACGGACAAGAGAACAGACCTCACTGTGCACAGATGGCAGCACAAAACATCCGCACACAAGCTTTACTTCAGCAGCTCTCCACGTGGTGCTTTTGGGGACAAAAGTTATCAGCAGTGTGCGCTGTTCAGCTGATGGATGTTCTTTATTCTCTGGATCAGGGAGAAAGCTGCCATGACTTTAAAGTGCTGGCAGGGTGCTGCAGATATGGGGGCTGTGCTGGCACCAAGAAAGGGAATAGAAGATCCTTCTTCACAAACATAAATCCAATAGCTCAGTGGTTACAGAGCGAAGTAACGATTTGGGGATGTATTCCAGAAGAATTCCTTTTCTTCTCTGCTCTACAGAAGCACTGCCAGGGCAGTGATGCACCAGCGCTGACCTACATGATCACAGCAGCAGTGACATCATTTTCACCCACTCACAGGCACGGAGGGAAGCATCTGCAATTATTCATTCTCTCTTGCATTCCAAGCCATGTCTGGGTTTCTTCTGGCATCTCTCTTCAGTTCATGGTTCGTGCCTCCTGGGCTGAGTATTTTTAAATACCAGTCATTTCCTTTCTCTCCCCCTCCTGCTTCTGAGTTGGCACTTCACTGCTTCCCTCCCTAGGAATGCCCCTGCTGGGAGGTGGCAAAGAAGATGAAGCATCAAGAGACTCTGAGGAATTTCAGGATCTTCTCGGGTTAAACTTATTGAGAAAGGAATTCACTTTTTCCCCACAGGCATCAGTGGCTCGGTACACAATGAGATGGAAGGTGCAGGTGAAACCCACAGTCACACTGACACGAGCAGCTCCATCCCAGGTTTGCCAAATGACAACCAGGACCTGAAGCTCGGGCAGGATGTGGCTGCCCTAAGGCAAACCCTGAGTGCTTTCACACCAGCCCCTGTGCTCAGAACAGGCCTGGCCATGCCAGGTAATTCCTTAGATTTAAGGGTTCAGAACAAACACCAGCATGTCCTTCCATCTTCGTTCACCTCTCTAAGAATATGAGGACTCGTGCTGAGTGATTTTAATTCTCTCTCTAGACACAGAGGGAATTGTTCTGCTCCACCCCTTGCCCCCTGCACTCCCATTTCGGCTTCCCTTCTTGTAATAATTGTTAAAATATGTATGTTTTTTCAATAAAGCATCTCGTGGTTCCTTTTTGACCCTGTATTCACATAAAGGTTTGATCATCTGTCCACTGGGAAGATGCCTGCAACCTCCCTAAATGCACACTAAATGTAAACTCTGTTTTTCCTGTTTTGCTTGGTTATTTCTGCCTGCCTGAAGGCAGAGAGGAATCAAAGGTCAGCTGTTAAAGGAAATCAGGCAAGAAAAGAAAGCAGTGCACCAGCAAAGAGGCATCTTCTCAAGCACAACAGCCACATGCAGAGCTGCGGGAAGAAACTTCTCAGTCCCTGTCCTAGAAAAGATCTGCTAAGGCTGGGAAAAGGAAAGTCCAAGGGAAGCAAAACAAAGTTTTAAGTCCAGCTAAGCCCACCCCAGGGTTTGCTGTGGTGGCAGAGATATTTTGAACAGCCTGTCCCTATGGCTGTTTGGACAAGGAAGAGTTTGCACGTCTTTGCACCCATGAGGAGGTTTGGACCTGGTATGTCCTGCTTTAGTCAACAGGTTCTTTCATCGGGTTTGGCATGGAAAGGGTAAAGGCCCTTCAGAGCCTGGGACACAAGGGTGTAAGCAGCAAAGCAAAGTACTCCAGCAATGCCTCTTCTGGTCTCCCTTTGCTCTGTCTCCTGAAATTTCCTGTATTTCCTTTTTTTTTTTTTCAGAGATGGGGGCTCCTCCTGCTGTGTCTCTGGCCACTCAGACCGGTGTTGCTGGGGTAAAGGGAAAGCACAGCCAGAAAGAAGAGTCTCCTGTGCATGCAGGGACACTTTTGTTTGTCTGACGTATCTCAAAAACCGTGTCACAGGTTACACACAAAACACTTCTCAAAATTTATTAAGCGCAGAAAAAAACACACCTCTTTCCCAAGATCAAAAGAAATCTCTTTGCCCAGCCACAAACAATGAAGCAAAGAAGAATTTAAGAGTAAAAGCTGTATTTCAGTGATCACTGTTACTTACATATTTTTTTTTTTTTCAGCAGAGGACTGGAAAAATGGATCCCATATAACTCAGGTGGAAGAACTGGGAAAATAATCTCTTTAGGACAGCTGCAGCTCTGCTAGAACCAGGTTCAGCTACTACTAGGATGGTTTGTCACTGCAGAGTAAAAAAGACAAACCACTTTCTCCCAGAAAGGAACGGTGAGCAAGGAGTGCCCTCCTCTGGCTTTTCAGATTCTTGCAGAAATGTTAGAAAATTAAGGCCAGTTCTAAGAATATCCCTCAAACTCTGGACTCTTGGGACAAGAAAGTGATGCCCAGGAGGTCACTGTGGGGAGACAGAGAGAAAGGAAAGGAGGGGAAGGAAGGGAAGGGAAGGGAAAGACAAAAGGAAGGGAAGGAAAGGAGGGAGGGAGAGAGATGGGATGACAAAGAACACCAGAGGGACTGACTTTATTTCAGAGACATCATTCATCCATTTGTCTACCTCAGGTATTTCCAAAGTGCCACAGTCCCACTGCAGTTTCTAAGCACACCAGGAATTTACAGTATTCTACAGAGCTCCCACAGCTGGTGGGAGCATCTGGGCACCAGCTGGTGACCACAGGTGTGGGATGGGGTGTGCCAGGGGTGGTCTGCTGGAATTACAGCAGATGATTTGCATTTTCCAGGGTCCTGTCACTGCAGCAGTGGCTGGGCATGTTCTCTCTCTGTTGCCACAGGGCAGCTCTTCCTCTTTGCTGTCCTTCCTTTCTTACACATGGACACATGGAGCTCCTGGAGCGGGTCCTGCAGGGGTTATGGAGCTGATTCAGGGACTGGAGCATCTCCCTGAGGGGGAAAGGCTGAGGGAGCTGGGGCTGTTCAGCCTCCAGAGCAGACACTGAGAGGGGACCCCATCCATGTGTGTCAGGGGCTGCAGGGAGGGGGCAGAGGATGGCCCAGGCTCTGCTCGGGGGGCCCAGCAATGGCACAGGAGGAATGGGCAGGAACTGATCCCAGCAAGTTCCAGTTGGACATGAGGAAGAA